TACAATGCATTAACTTGGCTCTCCCCAAGTTTAAAGGGTAATCCAGACATGGACCCCATGCTCACTGTGGCTACAGTGTTACCAGTTGCACCTTGCTGATAAAGCCCAAAGAAGGCTGAAACAATTGTGCAGTGTTGCATCTTTTGTGCAGAGTAAACTTGCCAGCATATCGTTCTGGAATTCCCTTATGGGTGGGATCAGTCTGATATGCAATGGACTGGATTCACTCTGTAATGGCACAAGTGAGCAAAAATAATTTTGAAATCTGAGCAGGGACTAACTGAAGGGTAAGCTATTTTTCTGAGATTTTGTCCATTCTTAGGGTTCTTATAATCTCTGTTTTTGTTGCAATTACCCTAACACTAGTGCTAGATTTAGGGATCCATACATCTTTGAATAGCATCAGGATGTAGGCATTCTGTCCTACCTGGTATGGTGTCAGTCACATTATCAAGTAGAAGCTGCGAATTCCATAACTGTGAGATGTGCTGTAAGTTACTTCCACTGTCCAGTTTATAAACAGCAATATTTTGTAATTTTTCAGTAATTGATGCCCGTTTTTTCCCTCAACAACAACAACTTATAAACTGATCATTGTTGGGAGGGAAAGGGATTATTTTGCAGATTTTTTTCCCACAGTCCATTTATTCCAGCTTTTTGATATGATGATGCTTAAAGTGAATTGAATACCAAAAAATACATTTTGATCTCAAGCAACAGAACAGGTTATCAACTACGTAAAGGAACTCTGCTATGCATACTGTATAAGTGATCTAAACACTGTCCAAGATGAAATGCAAAACAAGTATAAAGATAAAAAAAAAGAAAAATGTTTTTTTAAATTAATGTAGTTCTAAATTTCTGGTTTGGGATATGCAGAAACATCACTGTGAGGATCTATCGATAAATCAACTGCTAGAGTGGAGATTAATTAAGTGTATGCAAAGCATTGACGTCACTACCTTGTATCAAAGACTTGCAAACAAGGTCCTAATTCCCATTAGCAGCATTTGTAGATTAATATGTGAGAGGAGAAAGTATGTTTATCTACTCACAAATTACCAAATCCATGTACAATACAGCACCATTCCAACGTTGTTGACAGTTATACATATTTGTAAATAAAACCAGTCTACAAATCCTTATTGAAAATTAATCAAAAGTAAGAATTGTCTAGCCACAAAGTATATGTGTATACAGAGAGGATGATCATGTGATTCTGCTTGTTCTGCTTTTTTTGTTAATGTTCTGCAAGATTTGAGCGCTTAAACTAGACTTGTGTTCGGCAGAAAAATTAGTTTTGACCGAATCACAGCCAAAATGTTTATTTTTCAGGATGGCTGAATTTTGAGCAAATGGCCGTTCAGCTAGGTCTAATTTCGTTAATAAAAAAAAAAAGATTAGGGAAAATGTGTCAGATAAACCAAGAAGGTGCAGAATTGTTCCAATAATGGCACTGCAAAATATATATACATAATATAAATACTGATAAGCACATTTTTTCACCATTTAGTTCACAGATCAAGTTAGAAAAAGTAACCAACAGAGATAAAAAAGAGCAATACAAACTAGAAAAGCTACAATTTCTGGGGAAATTGTGTGAAGTGTTCTTGCCTCCACCAGAAGTCTACAACTGGAGTGGGCGGAGTAACTGTTATCATTTATATAGCACATTTAATTGCAACATTGTTGCACAGTTACATTAAACCATACATTTATAAAAACATTAGCAGGTGTACAAAAGGCCCTGTCTATGACATCACTTGCTGCTCCAGCCTGGCACAGGTCAGAGTATTTTGGCGGTTGCCATCTTCAAACATTTGTATTTTAAAACTATAAATCCTACAGCGAAGAGCTTTATATTTTGAGAATCACAAGACTCAGACCTACATTTTGATGCATAGTATGTCTCTGAAATATTAACTATGAAGGCACAGTCGCAGTTTAGAAATTGCCCTTCAAACTTGAGCTAGCTAGAGTGGAGTTTCAATGAATGTCAATGGACAGCGTGAGTTGCAATGCTGTGGACATTTTTAGTGGCAGCAGGGATAGCTGAATGTTTTGATATAAGATTTGTGTAGGTGGGCTTCAAAATGAGGGAGTGGTGGCAGTTTAGAAATCATGTCCTGATTTTTCAGCTTTTGCCAGCTCCCACTCTAGTTTTGAGCATTTTGCCATTCATTCCTATGGGACCGATTTCGCCACAAGAACGACGATTTTGCTATGCAAGAACACTTAATAATAATAATAATAATAATAATATATATGTGAGATAACATTAAGTGGTCTTGCTATGCAAGAACACTTAAAAATCTATATTTTGATATTATATAATTATTAAATATAATATATAATTATATATATTTTTTAATGCTCTTCCTTTTTCTGTAGGAGAAGGAGGATCGGGCAACTTTCTTTTTGTGTTGAGGTAGACTAAATAAAGTGCTGGTACTGGATCGGAGGTTATAGGAGGTGGGGAAAGCTGAGGATTCTGCTCAGGTAGGGTGGGAGTTTCCCAGAAAAGCTCTTAAACACAAGGCTGGAAAGATGAAGGGTGCATCTGGATCCCAGCGACAGCCAGTTTAGTTCTTTTAGCATGTTACAATGGTGGGTCCTGTAATTACATTGTAGCACAAATCGGCAGAACGAGTTATACAATGTATTGAGTTTATTAATGTGGGATTGCAGTGCAGATGCATATGCTACATCCCTATAATCAATGATTTGCATCAGCATTTGCTGTACAATCTTTTCCTTTACTGTAGGGCTTAGGCAGGATTTGTTTCTGTACAGGGCACCTAGTTTTGGATAAAGTTTAGATGCAAGTTTTTCTATGTGGAGGCCAAAAGATAGATTGGGGTCTAACATCATACCCAAGTATTTGAAAGAGTGGACTGCGGTCAGTGTGCCATTTGAATTTGTTTTGATGGATAGGTGGGAATTGTGTAATTTGTGTAATTTAGGTACTGTTCCAAAGATCATTGTGACCGTTTTGTCAGTGTTTAGGAAGAGTTTGTTTTTTGTTTTGTATAATTGATATAATGAAATATAACAATTTATTGTAACACAGTAAAATAGTAACTGCTTACAAGATCACAGTCAGAGGTCCGCTACTCACAAGCGTCTGATGATATCGGCGTCTGTGGAGGTTGACACTGGCAGGGTGCAAAGGTAGAAATCCCTGGTTGCTTTGCCTGGCTTCCTCACTTCTTTGCTGGTCTGAACAACAGTTTCGCCAAACAGCATCAGCTTGAAGTTTGCAGGGTTAACGCTGCCGCCCACCTAATGACGTCAATGCATGATTATGTCTACGCGTTTCACCTTACAGCTTCCTCAGGATGTGAAGTGCATGTCGGCTATCTTTCGAAGGGGAGAATTTAAGGGCAACCTTAGGTCCACCCATAGCAGTCACTGTTGGCTGTAGGTTTTAAGTCCTTCATTTGCATAGATTCTGGCCAAGATCACATAGTATAAAAGTCAACTATACATTAAAACTAGCTTTTAATATACAATCATTCAATAATAAAAAGCTTATACAGTCAGCATTCATGTTATACAATAAACAAAAATAAAACAAATATACCACAGTAAAACTTTGAAACTTAAAAAAAATCGTTCTATAATCACCAGTTATACCTAAAAAACAAAAATACGAATTAATTAAGACAGGCATAAAATAGGCGATCCAACTCTAAAAATCATATAAGTATAGAGAGGTATAAGTTTTTTAAGGTATGCTTTCATGAACAATCTCTCAATTCAAACCATGACTTTCATCATAAAACGCAGACAACTAACCTTGAGAGAACTTGATAAAGAAATTGCACAAATCCGACAGTAGTGTGAACAATATAAGGTCAATAGAGATTTTGTAGAACATTCTCAACAAATAGGAAAAAAGGTTGATAAGCTTGAACAAGAGGTAATTTTTATCAAACAAAATAATTATAAACGTGACATCCAAGACTATATGACTAAAACAGTGTATGGTAAAAAAGGTTCAAACTTTAAATATTCAGACAGGAATAGAAATTCTAATAATTACAATAAACAAAAAAGGCCACAAACCAACAATACCAGATATAAGAATCTGAATAGAAAATCATTCCAAGACATCACATTTTAAGATTCGCAACACTTCGAGTGTAGACACGTCCAACTGGCGAGTACAACACTATCAGAAGAGGAAATCGAGCAAACCAAGCTCCTTATTTCTAGCTAGAAATAATATTACTCCACATAGAAATAGATCTGAACCTCTTCAAGCAAATGATAATAAAAACATTTAGAAAAAAGAGGGAGGAATTGGGAACTTTCCTCCCCTCCTTCACAAACCCCACGCTTCAGGCAAAGAGAGGAAGAAGCAAAAGGGCAGGCAAAAAGATTACAACGTACGAAATGAATCAACACTAATACTGTAGGAATTTTTAATCTCTCCAGTAAAACTCTCACTTAAAATCATATCAGTTTTCTAAGCAAAGGTCTTAAATTTGCCCCAACTAAAGGGGTTGATAAATTTCAATTCTTTATAGATATGCAGAAATTCAATAGAAATGTATGTCTTAAAAAATTATTTCATAAAGCAAGTTCTCCACCAGAGAGTGTAACAGATTCTGACATTGTACACACAAAATTAATTTCAGAAAATTGTTTGCCATGAGGTAGATGTATTGAAACCCCTCAACAAATACCAGTTGAATCTAAATGCACAAGAATATGTAGCACTAGAACATTTAAAAAGGGATACAAGTATTGTGGTTAAACCAGCTGATAAGGGGGGCGGAGCTAGCTGTTGAACCGACAAGACGCATGGCATTCGAGCTCCGACATCGCTGTACCAATAAAGCCACAAAACTCACCCAAAAAGCATCCACAAGTAAGGGAAACACCTATGGAGGACCCAGTAAGCAATGGGGAAACACTCCTGAAAACCCTGAGGGCCACCCTCGGGACATACCCCCGATATCGGGCAGCTCCTATCCCAGGCGTGCAGCCCCAAAATGGCAGACGCCTTCCTAGACATGGGGATGGAGTCACTCTCAGCCTCAGAAGACAGAAACCTAAGTGACATGCAGACCCAGATACCCCAACGAAGGCAACAGACTGCACCACCAGGGCAACCGGAACAACCATTAGCCACTAAGGTCGACCTTTCAGGCATTGTGACAGACCTCAAGGCCTTTTTCACGACGGAATTAGCAGGCCTTCAAATCGGAGCTGAGCACGCTTATGGGCCGCATACAAGCCACGGAAGAAGTGGTCCAGGACCAGAAGACCCAGCAAGATGTTACAGTTACTCAAACGCTGGAGCTAGCAGCCACATGTACACAGCTGAATGCTCGAGTGGGGAAGCTGGAAGACGCGGCAAGGCAGAGAAATCTCAAGGTGAGGGGGATCTCAGACACCGTAACAGTGGATGAACTGCTGCACCTCATTAAGAGACTGCTCCAGGCCGCCCTATCGCTCAAACAGGCCAAACGACAGGCCTTAGACGGCCTATTCCGCATACTGGGATGCCCATGCAACTCTCCTGAATCCGTAAGAGATGTCATAATACATTTTAAATCCCGCTCAGATTTTAAATCCCGCTCAGATAAAAAGGCTTTCTCAGAGCCGTCAGGGGCCAGACTCCGTTTGTATTTGAGGAACTTACCTTGAACTTTCATCAAGATCTAAGCTACCAGACGCTACAATGGCGTGCATCCCTGAAAAAGGCCATGGCACAACTGAAAGCAGCTGACATACACTATAAATGGGGCTACCCACGACTGCTCATCGCCACATGAGACGGGCACAACCACGACTGATATCGCTGGAGGAAGCCCCACAATTTTTGCAGGCGCTGGGCATCCGATAGACAGCAGGAGCCAAGACAAGACCCACACACAAGTGGGACGTTGCTAACGTTGCACCATTTACCCCTGTGGGACAGGGATTCCCAGAAGGAAGAGGCACTGTGCGGCCCCTGGATGCTTGATTTGGCAGAGCTGCTGTTGGATACAGGGACCTCGCAACTGAAGTAACCAGCATAGTGTTACAATTTTTTTTTAAATTCAAAGTTTTACTGTGGCATATTTGTTTTATCTTTGTTTATTGTATAACATTAATCCTGAATGTATAAGCTTTTTATTATTGAATGATTGTATATTTAAAGCTAGTTTTAATGTATAGTTGATTTTTATACTATGTGATCTTGGCCGGAATATGTGGAAATGTAGGACTCGAAACCTACAGCCAATAGTGACTGCTGTGGGTGGACCTACGGTTGCCCTTAAATTCTCACCTCCGAAAGATGGGCGACATGGACTTCACGTCCTGAGGAAGCCGTCAGGTGAAACGCGTAGACGTAACCACTCATTGACGTCATTAGCTGGGCGGCAGCTTTAACCTTGCGAACTTTAAGCTGATGCTGCTTGGCGAAACTGTTGTTCAGTCCGGCGAAGAAGTAAGGAAACCAGGCAAAACAATCAGTGATTTCTACCTGTCTACCCTGCCAGTATCAACCTCCACAGACGCCGATATCATCATACGCTTGTGAGTAGCAGAACTAGCAGCACGCACATACTAACTGACTGTGATCTTGTAAGCAGTTACTATTTTACCATGTTACAATAAATTGTTATATTTCATTATATCAATTATAAATCTTTCAATAAACTGCACCATTATGGCATTTTGTGTTTTCTCTTTCTCTTTGTATGGAATGATCCTCTCCTGAGAGTCCATCAATAATATAAGTATATTTTATTTATACTTTTTGGGTGTGAATTAAGGTTCAATTTTGGCCACTTATGTACTCCACTTATATACCTTTAACTGTTTATATTGTACGTTAATGTGCTGGAATTGTCAATTGGAGGCACATCATTTAAGTGTGTAGCAGCATTTTTAAGTTACAGTATATTTACACGTTTAGATATATTTTTTACCCATTTTTACTACACTCATTTGAATGCCCTTTTAGAGCTCATTTCAACTTTATTCTTTAAAATCTATATATTTCATATTGTGTCTCATTCCATATGACCAGCTACTTTCCTTGAATGTTTCTGTATTATTTAGCCTGGGCTATTTCTCCACTACGTGGGAAGTTCTTATATTAATTGGTTCTAAAGAATTTTAGTATCTCTAAATTAGGGGAACAATATAAGATATGTAATATTTCTGCAGCAATGCTTTATAGTGGAAGTATATGTTAGCAGTGAAAACATTTAAAACATCACATTACAATACAGTTTGGGACTCTTGACAGCTACTATGTAACAACAACTCAAACAAATGGGTTACACCTTATATATTGAGATGTTTGTTTTCCAGAGATTTTATCCTTTAGTATGGTATACTTATAAGTGTAAACAAAACATATTCCTAAGGCATGCTGGATAATAATAATTTGAGTGTGGAAATCACTTTATTCATCATTAAGTTTACTTTTAGGTTTATTCACTAAAATGAGAATTCATGAATTATGATGAATTAAAAGTGAATTTCAAATTTAAAGGGACACTGCATGCACCCAGACCACTTCAGCTAATTGAAGTAATCTGGGTGCTGTGTCCCTTTTGCACTTAGTGCTGCAATGTAAAACATTGCAGTTCCAGAGAACTGCACTGTTTACATTGCAGCTCTAAATCTACCCTGTGTGGCTAACTAACAGACAGTCACTAGAGGTCTTCCGAAATCCAAACCAACTTTGAGGACTTCCTCACAGACCTCCAGCTTCAGATTTTCCCCATAGGAAAGCATTGAATAATGTTTTCCTATGGGGAGGTCTAATGCGCGCATGGCCATTGCCGCGCATGTGCATGTGCATTAGGTCCTCCCAGCCGGCTGACAACGGCAGGGAAGGAGCATGGGCGGAGCCTGACCTAGCGCCGAGGGACATCGGCACTGTATTCAGGTAAGTAGTTGAAGGGGTTTTAACAAGGGAGGGACACAGCAACATGGCGTCGGAGGAAGCCTACATGATCTTGGGACGAAATGTCACGGGACAGCTGACATCACAGGGAGAAGTAGAGAGCAGGTGTGATTCAGAGGTGTCCTGCAGAGAAGGACATTTATACTGAAGACACCCAGCAAGAACAGCAAGAACCTGGACCTCTGTTAATGCGATGATGGCGATACTCTAGTGCACAAGCGCTCACATTGTGTACATGTAACAGTTTTTAGGTATTAATAAACAGAGTTTTGGGATTAATAAACATTTGTTAAACAGTAGCATATAATTGGGATTTCCCTGTTCTCTCCCTCTCTCTTCATCCAGAGATAAGCTATCTATCAATGGGATTTACCTTCTCCTATCCAGCCTTCAAACCCAGAGCCGGTTGTATTTGATTATTTTGTTATTTTGTGGGCCCAGAAGAGATGGGAAAAGGAAAAATTTATACATTTTTAAAATAACTTTGTTACAATTTCTAAAATGAGGAATAAGGAAAAACTAGTGTAAATCAAAACAGTGCATAATATGCTAAACAGATAACAAACTTGAGTGTCTAAAAGTCATGCATACAGAGGACAGACACATGAGACAATTAAATACCCTTGCAATGGAATGCCATCTTAATAAACTCTTGAAATAAAAGGAAAAGAACCATCATAGCGGGACATTGCTACAAAGGTAATGGCAGTAGTATTGGATATTGAGCCCTAAACAATATGATGCTTAATACACAGGGTATATAGAAATTATTTGATGGCACTAAAAGAGTACTATATAAGCTAGTCCTACAGGGCTTGCTGGGCTTAACTGAGGGGTAATGAGATGTGCCCAGATGCTATGTGTAGTAGTGTTGAGATGACCTGAGGTACAAATCAATACATCAAGCCATCATTTTTGCTGCAGCCTGCAGACAGTATACTAACACCTTACTCTCAAAGAGGCAATAGTTGAATTAAAGTGGTCTGTTGCAGTAGTCATCCTGGGACATCTCTTTCAGAGGTCAGAGGTACTCTACAGCTTTAGATACTGGCAAAAGCCCACAGCCCTTGAAAGCATGTTTCACTTATTTCTTGGAGTGGCTATACGTAACGTAACACATGGTTTTCTCTAAAGGAGTGCATGTGGATAATTGCCACTGTAGCGGAGAGCTGGTATTACACAGCCTGTCTCCACTTTGGATCCCAGTGAGGCTCAGGAACAAGTCATTATAAATCCATAGGGCAAAGTATCCAGCAGGCAAAATAACACAGCAGTATCCCAACAGCACTCCCAATAACTGGACGACACACAGTATCAGGAGCAGAACTAAAGATTTATTCAGACAGTGGCCTTATAAGGCATGCTCCCATGCAAAGGAGGGATTTACAGTCATTAATACATTAGCCAATCCTGTTCTGGTAACCTCCCACACATCTCCTCCCCTCAGCCTGCACCATAATCCCCTTATCCAGGACACCAATTCCCCCTGTTTCTGGATGTACCCCTAAACCTAGGGGTACCACTTTAAATTATACATCCCCTGGTAGCCCTGATCTGGGTGAACAACATATCCAAAAATCACTCAGATCAGACCAGAGGTTCGGGAAATTTATGGAGGGAAAGAATAGCCGAATGGGGTTCCATGCGATGGGGCCCTACGGTCGGTCCTGGAATAAGGGAACAAACTACACGAAAGCCTCCAGATACAGAGACTAGGGAGGGTTCGCCAGAATCCCCTCGTTCGGTTGTTTCTATCTTCCGGACCGGGCTTGTGGAGGTCTCAGCGGTGTTCGCCTAGTCGAGTGTCTGACGGCAAAACACCGCTGTTCGGGAGTTTTAAAATGGCCGCCGCCACGTGTTCGTTTCCCGAATGGCGGCCACCCACGAGAACAAAGGACTTCTACTCAGCTTGTCAATTACCCGTTTGCAACAATGTTGCAACTGGTAATTGAAGGCACACTTCACACCAGGGAGGTCTGACTGTTCGGTAGTTTCATTCCCTTAGTTGTTGGAATGATTCTACCGAACAATCAGACGAATACAATACATTTAACACATATAACTTTGCCATTTACACAAATGCAGTCAAAACTTATGTAATTCTCAGGACAGCCCAGTGCCATCCGCTACAGCCACCATAAGCTCAATATACAGTAAGCTTATACTGCATCCCTTTCAATCTATCCCACTCGACTACATGTTCGTGAAAATGATTGGATATCAGAAAATATTGATGACCTACATTTACAATGTAATGCCGAGATGATTTGTTAAATATGCTCCCTCAAAATGTATTTGCTGGAGAGTGATGTAATATGCCAATTCATGTGTTAGAAATAATAATTTTATTTTCTCTCTAGA